AATATTTTGGCTTTGAAGGCTACATACAGGTTTTGTTCCACATTCTGGATTATTTTTATGTCATTGAAGACAATAAAACATACGCCTTGGATTTGGCCCTCAGGGGCAAGGGGTGTTTTACCCATTTTGGTTAGCAGAAATCATCAGGCTTGCGATGAACTTTTTGCTTCTTTGTTTGTTTAACTATGCAGCTCAGGCTGGCCTTGAGCTCCCTTTGTAGCCCAGGCTGGTCTCCAACTCCCAACAATCCTCCCGCCTCAGCCTCCCGAGTGCTGGGATTATGGGGTGCATCCCCACACTCGGCTGAGAGATTCAACTTTAGATGAAAGCAGACAACAATCTCATCTCCATCTTTGCCAAATAACTTGAAATCAGGCAGGGATACATGCATGTAAATCATGACAGCAGCCATTTCCTAATGCAGTGTGTTCTCCTGACATACAACAATATCCAGGAAGCACGTACTGGAGGACGCACACGATTTTGTGGCAGGATCCACTCCTGTTCTCAAAAAGCAGTACCATTAGACTACAAGTTAGATTTCTGCTCAAGAATCATTCAGGGCTGTTCTTGCTTTTGAGTGGTCACCTATACTCACTGTCTTCTCTAACTGCTGGAGGAAAATCATGTCTGAGGAAGTGGCCAAGAGTTTACCATCCCAGTAGCCTAATGATGTGGCAAACATCTCAGGGAAGGTTACACCAGGTCACCCAGTGTGGTGTGCTTTGGCTCTGGCCCAGCCTTAGAAGGGACACTTCAGGGATCTGATCTGGTCCTAGACAACTGTGAAACCTACCAGGACACTGTAAAGTCCTTTTTTTAAAGAATCTCTTAAGATTAAGACAGATTTATCAAGGATTTAAGAAATAATTACATGTGAAGGCATTTGCTAAGATGGAAATACCTTTGAAACCCCACAGTTCTTTGGACTGGGGAGATAGCTCAGCTGTCTAAGCTCTTGCCTGGCAAGGACAAGGACCTGGCTCCCATCCCTGGTACCTCATGCCATGCTGGCCTCAGAAGCCCGGGTGTGCCTATGGGTCATGATTCCACCTGAGTCTACAGGGTGGATTTCTTTTTCTTTTTTTTTGCGGAACTGGGGATTGAACTCGGGCCCTTGCGCTTGCCAGGGAAGTGCTTATTCCACTGAGCCATCTCCCCGGCCCCATACAGGGTGGATTTCAAAGAAATAGCTGTAGCTCAGTCCCACAAGTGACGCCTGGCCACCTGTAACTGTCACGGTCATTATGCATGTCCACAACACACTAGAACTTTGTGTGATATCCTATCCTCAAACTGTTAGAAGTGCTGGTCATTTACTTGGTCA